GTTGACTGTCTGGATAAAAAGAATTTTACACATACATACACATTCACTTAAAAAATGAGTGTTTTTACATAACTGTCATCTTACACATTTTAAAAATGAAAAAAACAGAAGCGCAGAAAGACTGCATTGTATATCACATTCCAAATTCATGAATATATTCAAAATTCATTGTGTTCTAGACCAAAATTTTAAATATGCTGTCCTGTCTCAAAAATCAAATGCACAATAATCCTAGCCAACATTTATGGGAAAAGTCATATGCAATTAATAATTCCTATATTTTTCAATAACATTTTCTAGATTAGCATTTATCATAAGAAATAGCAAACTGTACTTAGCAATAAGAAAAAGGAGTTAAAAAGATAGAATCAAGAGAGAAAATAGCATTTAAAGTATATAACGTGTATATTTAGCAAATCACAATAATATTTGCAATTCCTATCTTGTTTATCACTCTAAAGAGAGCCTTTAAAGAGAAAAGCATTATGTTTGATAACGCACTTATCTCTCAATCTCCACTCAAAATGGGCTCTTTTCCTTTACACAGTTTCTCTTCTAAACATAGGCTAACTAGAAAGAATATAATTTTTGAAATTTTTCCAAAAAATATCATTTTGAAACCGTGTTTCACTAAAACATATCTCTACTATATGCTGGCAATTCAATGAGCAAATACATTATAATTAATTCTAATCTTCTATTTAAGAGGACTATTCAAGCAAAAAAAATCCAAAATTCTCTATTTTGTTTTACTATTATTTTCTGCTTTCCAGACCAGACTTACTGATCCAGAATACACATACACACACACACACACACACAAACAGTATACCACAATAAGGTATTTGATGTATCTCTAGGTTCATCCTTATAGTTTTCTCTTCTCCCAGATCTCGTAAAAGCTGTATTCATAGTCATTTTTCTGAAACTGCTCAGCACTACTGCTAAGTAGATCTTTTTATTATGCCTAGGCAAAGTAGCCAAAAAAAGTTATAACCTAAACAAATAGTCCATGGTCACAGACCCATTTAGAAGGAAAGTTGCAATTTTAATCATTCCTTTGATTACAAACTTCCTGTGTTCCTTCTCCATTGATCAAATTAAAACTGAACTATATTGAATATCAATTAAATTATGCCAGCCAGGCATGGTGGCTCACGCCTGTAATCCCAACACTTTGGGAGGCCAAGGTGGGAGAATCATTTGAGGTTAGGAGTTCAAGATCAGCCTGGCCAAGAGGGCAAACCACTGTATCTACTAAAAACACAAAAATTAGCTGGACCTAGTGGTGCATGCCTGTAATCCCAGCTACTCAGGAGGTTGAGGCACAAGAATCACGTGAACACGGGCAGAGGCTGCAGTAAGCCAAGACTGCACCACTGCACTCCAGCCTGGGCAACAGAGTGTGACTCTGTCCCCAAATAAATAAATAAATAATAATAATTATGCCTCTATAGAGATCTTTCCTAATGTTCTGATGTTTGCTTTCTGAAATCAGAAGCAGTCTCCAGTCAGACCACCCTGAAGACCCCATATCTTCTGATCCTGGAAGCTAAGCAGGGTTGGGCCTGGTTAGAACATGGATGGGAGAATCAAAGCACAGGACATATCATCCTCCTAAGAAATATCAGGATCTTTAACATCTTGTGACCTTTCTAAGACTTAATCATGTAAGAAAACTAAGAAAGAGATTATCAATCTTTTATAGAAACTAGGCCTTGAAAGGGAAATATCCTGAGATTCGCATTTATAAAAATTACTAAAAAATAGTTAAAACACAATAAAAGCAATAGGCTTCGATTCTTCAAACCACTTAGATTCATAACAACAAGCCACTCTCTAATTCTTCATTTGTATAATGCTTTCACCTTTTTAAAAGGATTTCGAGACATATTATCTCATTTGATTTACAAAGCTGTGTAAGTACACAGACATGTGCGTCTAGCCATTATATAAAAAATAATCAGATACTGTTAAGATTTACATGTGGTGAAAGCATTTTTTTTTTTTTTTTTTTTTTTTGAGACAGAGTTTCACTCTTGTTACCCAGGCTGGAGCGCAATGGCGCGATCTCGGCTCACCG